TCCTTGAAAACCCTATGGTCGCAGTTTTACTCTGTCCCATAGGGTTGCTATGAGTCGGGATCTACTTGACGGCAGTGGGTTCAGTTCAGTTCCTATTGTAATAGTCCTTTTCCCCATTTTCTTTCTGAATAAAGCTTCTTCCTATCAAAGTCTGGATTTATTTTTTTGGTAGCATGAGTATATATACATATATATGCATTATATGTGTGTGTGTATATATATATTTTTAAGGGAAAATAATGAAAATAACCAAAATATTAACAAGTACCTTCATGTTAATATTCAGTAGTCTGAGAAGCTGGACTATATGAATGGTCTTCCTCAAGACTGGAGGAAGACTCATTAACCTGCTATATGCAGATGACACAACCTTTCTTGCTCAAAGTGAAGAGGACTTGGAGCACATACTAATGAAAATCAAAGACTACAGCTGTATTGAAGATATAGATTACACCTCAACATAAAGAAAACAAAAATCCTCACAACTGGACCAATAAGAAACATCATGACAAACGGAGCAAATATCGAAGTTGTCAAGGATTTCGTTTTACTTGGACTGCAATCTGCGCCCATGGAAGGAGTGGTCAAGCAATCAGCGACATATTGCATTGGGCAAATGTGCTGCAAAAGACCTCTTTTAAGTGTTAAAAAGCAAAGATATCACTTTGAAGACTAAGGTCCGCCTGACCCAAGCCATGGTATTTTCATTCGCCTCATATGCATGGGAAAGCTGGACAGTGAATAAGGAGGACCGAAGAAAAATTGATGCCTTTGAATTATGGTGTTGGCTAAGAATAGTGAATATACCGTGGACTGCCAGAAGAACAAACAAATCTGTCTTGGAAGAAGTACAGCCAGAATGCTGTTTAGAAGCAAAGATGGCGAGACTTCTTCTGACGTACTTTGGACGTGTTATGATGTCCCTGGAGAAGGACATCATGCTTGGTAAAGTAGAGGGTCAACGAAAAAGAGGAAGACCCTCAGTGAGATGGATTGACACGGTGGCTGCAACAGTGGCCTCAAACATAGCCCCGATCATGAGGATGGCACAGGACCAGGCAGTGTTTCATTCTGTTCTACATGGGGTCGCTATGAGTCGGCACCTAATAACAACCTTTGTGTTATAGGATTATGAATTCTTCCTTTATATTTTCTGTTTTCCAAATTTTCTACAATTAAACTTTTGAAGCTTTGATAACCAGGAAAAAAATTAGAGAGTTTGCAGTGCATTCCAGAAAGAAATGACTCAAACTGCCTGCTATTTTAAATTATTCATGCCTCTCTGTCTTTCTCCTGCACCTTCCACAGTGGGGCTAATGTTCTAGGCGTGACATTTTAAGCCCTGTAAGTGGAGAGCACCAGAAGAACAAGGCCCTGGCACTGAGGCTGAGGGCAGCCCTGTTGCTTTGGATTTCCTCAGCTTGCTACGTACGTCATGCGGAGCCCCAGCCATCCCAGTCAGGGAGCCCAGGGTGTCCCCGAGGTGTTTGAAAAGGCTGTTAGGGTTGTCAGGGTTCTGAAAGGAACCTCTGAATTCCCAGTTGGGGAATTTCGATTTAGAGTAAGTCCTTGTTTCCATGCTGAAATCAACACACTTGTCTATTAACAGCTAGCAGAGTGGGTCCCAGCTTTGGCTGCACATTAGAATCACCTGGGGACCTTTAAACAGATGCTGTTTCTGGGACCCCACCCATAATCAATTGAATCAGACTTTTTAGGGTGGGGCCAAAGCTTCAGTGTTTTTTCAGAAATTCCCCATCTAACTGTGATGTACAATGACTGTAAATACTGATCTATTAATTGGCCCAATATTCAGGCCCTTTGTAATTGACCTCATCTCCCATTGCACAAGAACTCCAAACCCTTCCTAACTGTGTGCTTGGTAAACTCCCTTCAAACAAGCTCACACGTTCCTCCTTACCTGACTTGCCACCCCAGCACAGTCAATGGGTATTGCTAGAGGACTTTGTTCCCTCAGAATTAGGCCAAGAGCGACATCTTTCCCAAGACTAAGACCTCTGATGAGAGTCTAGCCACTGTCTTTGTATCTCTGGTCACTGACTCAGAGTAGTAATTGCTTGATGGTTGTCGAATGAAGGAAAGAATGAACAAATGAATGAAGTGGTGCTTCCCATCATCTAACAGACTGTTCTTTGATGTTTTCACTTACAGGGTGTACAGATTATAGTGTTTCCAGAAGATGGCATTCATGGATTCAACTTTACAAGAACATCCATATACCCATTTTTGGACTTCATGCCGTCTCCCCGGTTGGTGAGGTGGAACCCATGCCTGGAGCCTCACCGGTTCAATGACACGGAGGTGTGTGAGGATCCCAGTATTCCTCCTCAGTAAACAGAGGTCATGTGCAGATGAACCCAGCCAGGGACCAAAAGCCAAGACAGCATTATCTGAGATTGAAGGAAGACTCTAGGATCATAGAAATCAAACCCAAACTCCATGTGCCATCCGTTCCTTCAGTGAAAGAGTGTCTGGTGTTACAAGGTGTTTATTCATCTAAGGGTCTGTCTGTTTACTAATCACACAAAAAACACGTTTATAGAAAAACATGCAGAAGTAAAAAGGTGAAAGCGCACCTTCCCCACCCTCCACCCTCACCCTCTTTCCCTTCCTAGAGAAACTGCCATCAGCAATTTGGTGTACATCCAATGATGCTATGCATTTTATAGTTATTGACATCCTCCTTTTTTAGCATGCTGTATGCTAACATTTTTAAACTAATTTTTTTTAATGTTGCTATTATGAGCAGTGTTTCAATGAATGTCCTTATATACATATTTTTGTAAATATGTCCAAGTTTTTCTGTAAGATAAAATTCCTAGAAGTGGAGTTTCTCAGTCAAACAATAGATACATTGTACATTATTTTAAAGTATGCCAAGTTTACCCTTCAAAAGACTTTGGTATTCACTTTATGTTGTTGTGTGCTATCAAGTTGACTCTGACACATGGCAACCCTATAGGACAGAGTAAAACTGCCCTGTAGGGTTTCCTAGGCTGTAATCTTTACGGGAGCAGATCGCCAGGTCTTTTCTCCCAAGGAGCGGCTGGTGGATTCAAACCACTGACCTTTCGATTAGCAGCTGAGTGCTTAAACATTGCCTATTTTCCCACCTATTGGTCAGTGCAACATAGGATCAGTCTTTTGAGTTTTTGCCAATCGGATGGAGGTAAATTTCATTATTGTTTTAATTTTCATTTCCCTGTTCCTAATGAGGTTGAGCATCTTTTCAGATATTTGTTGGCCATTTGTATTTATTCTATGAATCACCTGTTCATATCCTTTGAACATTTTCAGTAATGGTTGCCTTTTTCTTATTGATGTAAAATAAGTGTCTGTATATTATGGGCATAATACAGGTACTCTTCCATTAAAAAAACATAAGGCAAAAGGCAGAACTTGGAAGATCCATTTATTAATACCTCTTTCTCTCTAGGTCCTCCAGCGCCTGAGTTGTATGGCCCTCAGGGGAGAGATGTTCCTGGTGGCCAATCTCGGCACGAAGCAGCCTTGTCATAGCAGTGACCCAGGGTGCCCAAATGATGGGAGATACCAGTTTAACACAAATGTTGTGTTCAGCAGTAATGGAACCCTTGTTGACCGCTACCGCAAACACAACCTGTACTTTGAGGCCGCTTTTGATACCCCTCCCAAAGTGGATTACATCACCTTTGATACCCCCTTTGCTGGCAAGTTTGGCATCTTCACTTGCTTTGACATATTGTTCTTTGAGCCTGGCATCAGCCTCCTCAGAGACTTCAAGGTGAAGCACATTGTGCACCCAACTGCCTGGATGAACCAGCTCCCACTGTTGGCAGCTATTCAGATTCAACACGGCTTTGCCATTGCCCTTGGCATCAACATGCTGGCAGCTAACATCCACCACCCATCTCTGGGGATGACGGGGAGTGGCATACACACCCCTCTGCAGTCCTTTTGGCACCATGACATGGAAAACCCCAGAGGTCACCTTATAGTTGCCCAGGTAGCTAAAAATCCACTGGGTCTCATTGGTACAGAGAATGCAACAGGTAAAATGGGCCCATCTCATGCTAAGTTTTTAAAAATCTTGGCAGGTGATCCATACTGTGAGAAGGATGCTCACGAAGTCCATTGCGAAGGAGCTGCCAAGTGGAACATGGACGCTCTTCCCTTGTTTCACTCTGAGATGATGTATGACAATTTCACCCTGGTCCCTGTGTGGGGAAAGGAAGGCCATCTCCGAGTGTGTGCAAATGGCCTCTGCTGTTATTTACTTTACCAGAGGCCTGACCTGTCCACAGAGCTGTATGCCCTGGGGGTCTTTGATGGTCTTCACACAGTGCATGGCACTTACTACGTTCAAGTTTGTGCCCTGGTCAAGTGTGGGGGGCTTGGTCTTGATACATGTGGGCAGGAGATCACAGAGGCCACGGGGAAATTTGAGTTTCACCTGTGGGGGAACTTCTCTACTTCCTATATCTTTCCTCTGTTTCTGACCTCAGGGATGACTCTGGAAATCCCTGACCAGATGGGCTGGGAGAATGACCACTATTTCATGAGGAAGAGTGGGCTGTCCTCAGGCCTGGTGACGGCAGCTCTCTACGGGCGGTTGTATGACAGGGACTAGGGGAAATGTGTAGGGTGGGCGCTGGCTGCCACGTGATCAGCCTCCACTTCCACAGGCCAATGGTCACAAGCACTGTGACCACCTCTCTACCCTAAGGTTGGAAACCACTTCTATGGCACCAGATCCCACCCTGGGAACTATGGGAAGAAGTAGGAGATGCAGATTCCCTCAGCGTCTCTTCCTCTTAAGTATGAATTACTGATACATGTTCTGGTATTTTCTACTCACGTTTGTCTTTTTCAGGCCACATCTTCCTCCAACAAACTCTCAGTACACAATTGGTTTTAAGAGCTCAAACAAAAATAAATGTCAATTTATAGTTTACACATCCACAAAGCAGTGTTTTGTTTGTTTTCTTTTCTTGTTGATCAAGTGACACCCAGGAAGTATAAGCATTTCACATTCCTCCAACGTTTTCTAAAGTAAGAACCAAACTCTTAAAGCAAAAGCTGTATTAGAAATGGCTGTTGTAGGAACCTTTCCCATCATGGTTGACTAGAACTCTATTCAAATGAAATTGTTACGCCATAGCCACCAACAACATCAGAAATGTGGCTATGAAGCAGCTTTTAAAAATGGGAGACTTTTTCTCACATCTGCCTTTCTGGCAGTAAATGGAACATGTCAGACAGGGCTCGGGATAACTGGAAGGAAAATGCAGTGCCCCAGAGAGAGAGAGAGAGAGAGAGAGAGTGGGACTGGAAAAAAGCATTAGAGAGAGAGAGGCAGTGATGGAAAGTTATGAGTAATAGAAGTCTTTCTGTACGTGTCTCACCCAGGGATCCAGGGACCTTAATAAATCACGCTAGCTTTGACCTACCAACCGCTTTGTGGAAGAAAGATGCGGCAGTCTGCTCCCATAAAGATTACAGTCTTGGCAGCCCTGTGGGGCAGTTCTACTCTGTCGTATAGGATTGCTATAAGTTGGAGTCGACTCAGTGGCAATGGGTTTGGCTTGGGGTTTTGGGTCAAGAACTTTATAGTTGCCCAACGACGCCCCTTAAAGATAAGTGGTGGCTAGTATGCTTCATTCATTCATGAATCACTCAGCAGGCATTTATGGAGCACCCACTAGATATAGAGCGGGGCCTCCCACACCATTAATCCCAGATGCCAAGTGGTTGGTGGGAGAAGAGTTGCAGACACCTCGTATCTAGTGTGGTGAAGACATTTTTAGACCACTGGTTTCTGTATTTGTATCGAACATTTCAAAGCCATTTAAAAAAAGATTTTGACTCCATGCCCAGTAAGTGTTTCAGATAATTTTTTATGTAGACAATTGATAATTAACCTTCTGTGATTTGCCTCTTAACTGTGGTGGCTATTTAGTTTTATCTTCTTTTAAATTGATTTTTTAAAAGCTGCATATGCACCATATATATACAGAATTGTATAAAGTAAAAATGAAATTCCTCCCTCAATGTTGTCCTCCAGATCCTTTTCTGGCTTTTAGGCAGGAGAATTCAGAGCATAGATTCTAGAGCAGATGGACTGGGTTTACATTCTTGGGCTCACAGCTTACTCTTCACTGTGTAGACCTTGGACAATTTATTTCAACCTTGTGCCCCAGTTTTCTCATTTGTGGAATGGTATTGAATAATCCATGTGGGAAAGCGGCAAAGGCGGCCCCACCTTCTGCTGACTAACTGCTCCCTCGCAAAGGCCTGGAATGAATCAAGTCTTCAGGGTAAGCCAGAACAACTCAGAATTCCTGAGGCCCTGAGATTCCCCCTGTGCCCTGGGAAGTCCCCGTGGAGTGGGTGCGGGCCATCTCCCACCCAGATGGCAGTGCTCAGCCTCGCTGACGCAGAGCGGTAGGGAGGAGTGAGCTGGCAGGCTGGACGTGGCTCCGGATGTAGTGGTGGCCACCCACTGTACTCTGCTTCCCTGCCCAAAACCCCAGGGAAACAAATTATTTTAAAAATGCATATCATTGCTTCACGCCAAGATGATTCAAATCAGCCTGAGAAAGGGAGAGACAGAGTAGTTCCAGGCTTGCTAGGACTGCTTTACCCAATAAATATTTATCAAGCACCTACTGGGTACACATTCTGCCCTTCTGAGCAGAGCACCTAGAACTTTCTCTGAGTTACTTTCTATTGACAATTTAGAAATAATTGTTCATAAAGTAGAAATGAGGGAGAAAATAATAGTGGTAGAACAAAGTGATTTTTACAATAAGGAGTGGCAGGACAAGGTGGAGTACAGGGAAAAATGAGTAAAATCATTTTTAGGGAAAAAAATACCTATGACTAAAAGTTGTTATATGCTTTTGTCAACTATGATCCTAAAATTCCGGAAGCCAATGGCAACCTTTACCATAACATAGAGACAGGAAATCAAGTGTATTTTTGGCTGAATCAGATTGAGGGAAGCCTCTTGGTCGTGTGGTTTATAACGTAGGTGCAGCTGTGCCTGTCTGTGGTTTTCCACATAAATGACGTGAAAGGCACAATGAGCTGTATTCAACTGGGCTAAAACAGGGCTGTTTCCAGAGAAGGTAAAACCATGCCTTCCTCACAGACTGTCCAGTCTCTGCACCTGCCAGGGTCACTCCTGAGGGGAGGGCCTGCCCACAGCCACTATTACAGGAGTAGGCACCTGACCCAAGTTCAGCCAATCAGAAGGCTGGGTGGTAGCCGATGAGGTGGCCTGGCACAGAAGCTCCACCCAGAGATGCAATGGTGACTCAGCCAATCAGATTCTCAATGGAAGTCAAACCTGCTCGAACACAAATTACCCACTAAATGGAAAAATAAATGATTTCTGAACAAAGGGCTTATATGTTGCAAAATTGAAATAAAGTTTTAATAGTATATTGTACTGTGAGAAAAGGCCAGAATTTATAACAAATGCTGATGTGGCAGGAAGCTCTGTGAAAAGGCCTACTGTGGAGGCTACTTTCGTTGCTTAGCAGTTCAGAAGGTCCTTGTCTCCAGCGTCAGTCTTCTCTCATTGCCAAGCCTTCCTCCTTATATTGGTTGTCTATTCCCACATAACAAATTACCCCAAAACCTAGTGGCTTAAAACAGGCATGAACATTATTAGCTCCCTCAGTTTCTTTGGGTCAGAACCTTTAGTTATATGAGCCAATAAATTCTTCCGGCATGGCTGGATCCAGGGACTCAAATGCTTTTCTGATGACAGTCTCTTAACTGCTTTCCCATTCTTTCTCTTCCCTTCCCTTCCCTATCCTCTTCCTTCTCTCTCCTCTCCTTTTTACCCTCACCCCTCCTCACTCTCACGCTCTCATTCTGCTCCGCCTGTTATGGTAAAAATAGCCACCCCAGCTCTAGGCTTCATGTGATCCTCTCAAAAACCCCAGAAAGAAAGCTTCTCTTTCCACACAGTTCCCCTCAAAAGTCCAAGAAGTGAGTCTCTTTGGCTGTTTTGGGCCACATGCCCATCCCTGGACCCATCACTGGCCAGAGAGGGCTGTGATCTTCTGACTGACAAGCACTGAGTCTCATGCCCCCATTAGAGTGAAGGATGATGGGCTTAGCTCTGACCTAAAACTCAAGGATTGAGAGGGGGAGGGGTGAGTCCTGAAAGGAACAATAGGGCACTGTTACTTGGTGGGGGAGGGTGAAATGGAATATGGTCATACAAAAACAATAAGTGTCCACCATGCCTGCTTCCTCTGAGCAGAAATTGCTCTCTGACGCGTTAGGTGCTGTTGCAGGCAGGGTCATAGCAGAAAGGAGACTGTATAGCATGATTAATTGAGGAGAGTTTAATAACAGAATGATTTACACAGATGTGGGCAGTGTGTAGGGAAACCAGCAAAGGATAGCTCAACATACTGGGGCTTGCAACAACTGAAACCGTTACCACCCTCAACCTGAAAGTGTGAGGGGATGAAGTAGTTATCAGAACCAAGAGAAGAAAGCTGGTTGGACAGGACAGCCTGACAGCAGCGTAGCCTTCAATACAGAGACACAGCCAGACTGTGGTGATCTGGCAGGGATGGAGCCAGGGGATAAATATCCTGACTTCTCCCTCTTCTACCCGCCCATTTCCTGCTGCCGCCTCCCGCTGGCTGGACCCAACAGGAAGGCAGAGGGCAAGAGAGTTTTGTTGGTGCTATCTATAGAAGTCAGTGTCTTAGTGCTGTCTACACAAGGGTCACAGAACAGGACAGGGAAGAGGGGAGCATGCAGGGAAGAGAAAACCATCACAGACACGATTCTCCCAGCACCTTCTGGAGCTCACGAACCAATTCATCTGAGAAGAGTTAGTGGAGTTAGGAGAGAGAGAGAGCCCAATAAACAGACGAGCTTCTTAATGAGCATAACTGGGGTAGCAATCTCCAAGATGCCCCCCATCCCATGACCCCCCGCCTCCTGATATTCACACCCTTGTGTAGTACCTTCCCACATAGTTCCAGGACTGGTCTGTGTGACCAATAACTATCGCAGATGTAACAGCATGTCTCTTCTGAGATTAGGTTATAAATGATACTTCAGCTCACTATCTTGAGCACTTGCTCAGGTGGAAGCCAGCAGCCATGTCCCAAGCAGCCCTATGGGGAGGCCGTTTTGGCAGGAACTGAAGCTGCTTACCCACAGCCATGCAAATGAGCCACAGTGGAGGTGGGGCCTCCAGCCCAGCCAAGTCAGCCGACATCTTGACTGCAACTGCTTGTGAGGCCCCAAGCCATAACAACCAGCTAAGCCTCTCCCACATTGCTAACCCTCCGAAACTGTGAGATGTTTGTTAAGTGTCTAAGTTTGGGGTAACTTATTATGCAGCAATAGATAATTAACACTATAACCTCCTGCCAGCACATTAACCCCCTGCCAATCTCAAATCTACTCACTGCTCAGCCTCCCCAAGTGTCCTGACTGCCCCTTTACTGGGCTCTCCCACTGTAAGTTAAGTACTACTTACCCTTGCTGTTGAGTACAATTCCGACTCAGAGTGATTCCCATGTGTGCTACAGGGTGGGACTGCCCCATAGGATTTTCTTGGCTATAATCTTCATGAAAGCAGATCACCCACCAGACCTTTCTTTCATGACACCACTGGGTGAGTTTGAACTGTCAACCTTCTAGATAGTAGCCAAGTACAAATTGTTTGAGCCACCGAGTGACTAAGCATTATTAGCTGCTATTGTTTGTTGGATTACACAAAGTCAGAAATCACCTACTTTCTTTTCTCGTGGTTTTAAAGAGTGAAGTGCACCAGGGAGATAATCTTGGGTGGAGGGAGAAGAAAATAAGAGGGGTCCACAAGGAGGTGGGGCCAGAATGGCAGAGTGATCAGATGCTTCCGGTGGGCCCTCTTACAACAAAGACCTGAAAAAACAAGTGAATCGATTATATATGACAAT